TTTATATAGTAAAATATTAAAATAAAATAACTAAGCGATAAACTTAATTATAAAAAACTTAGACTTTTTAAAATCTTATAAGTTATCTTACTAGTTAACTATAAGCTTAAACTCCTAGAAACTATAAAATACTACCTAATATTCTATATTTTACTTCTTAAGCTAGTACTATAAGGATTATAAATAAATAACCTTATTATTATAGAAGATAATAAACTAAAGTATAAAGTAGAGAAACTATTAAACTATTAGTATAGAGATAATAAATAGGAATATTTTATTAAATAGAAAAACTATAGATATAAAGATAATATATAGGAACCTAATAATAACCTACTTAACTATTAAGATAAGATTAATAAGTATATTAGAATACTTAATTATATTAATCCTAAGGATAAATTAAACCTACCTATAACCTTAGAAGAATTTAAAGAATATATAAAATATACTAATAAAAGAAAAAAACAAATATAAAAAGAAATATAATAGAAATAAAGAGAAGCTAAGAAATAAAAGATATAACTCTTATTAGTATAAGTATAACTAGGAGGATACTTTAGACTAATATAATAGGGAAATATATCTATTTAACTAGGAATACTAAAATATAACTAAGACCTCTCTAATAAGAAATTTAGAGTATTAAGGTTCTAGTCTAAAACTAAATCTAAGTCTAATATATTAAAACTACCTATAGACTAAACTTCTAATATAAGAGATATTACTAGCTCCTCCTCTATAACCTCTTAACCTTTTTAAAATACTATCTTTTTCTACTTATATAAATAATCTAATTACGTTATAAACTTATTTAACTTAACTTATATAGTATATAAAGTAGCTACTTTCTTTTTTAATACCTCCTCTTTAGCTACTTTAGTATCCTCTAAATAAGTAGCTTTATCTAATAAGTAATTAACTAAGATAAGTTAGTACTAAATAAGAAATATAATAAAAATAAAAAACTTATAAGTATAAATAATATCTACTACTATATTATAAAACTACCTTAAATAAGTATACTTACTATAAACTTTATTATTAAGGAGAAACTTATAATACTTCTCTAAAGAATAATAATAAGAATAAAGTATATTAATAACTAGATTAAACTTAGTAATATATAAAGTATAGTTATAATAATAAAGAGTAGAAGTAGTACTTAATTTTAATTTCTAAATATAACCTAACATAGTATTAGTATTATAAGTAAAATAGGAAGTATAATTAATAAATCCCTAACTTAAGACTAATAACCTACTTATATTAGGTTTTAAGGATAAGACCTTTAGAGAGGGGACCTAATATTATAACTTATTATATATAGATAATAGTTAACTAACCTACTTAGGCGTTAAGTAACTAGGATAAGATATTTATATTATAGAGTTAATAGGAATAATAAGGATTTATTTAAAATAGAAAAACTATAGTATAAGTTATATAATAATAAGATAAAGAAATAATTAGTAGAGTATAAAAAGAAATACTTAGTAATTAATTAGTATTACTAACTAATTATAATTATCTATATACCTAAGTAATTACCTAAAAGTAAATAAAGGATATTATTTAGGATTTATATATAGTATAACCTAAGCTTCGTTTAAGGTTAGACTTCTATAGCTCTTTAGTAATTAACTTAGTATTTATCCTTATAGATACTCTTAGTTTACCTTCACTATAAATTACTTATTAAGCTTAAAACTAATCACCTTAGACTCTAAAAGACCTAATCTACTATAGCTTACGACCTATAACCTCAGTATACTATTATAACGTGTTAATCCCCAGTTTCTATTAGTAGACCCTACTATCAGATAGCTGACTGTAACAGCTTACTCTTAATATCTTTACTATCCTAGTAATAATAATAGATTATAAGAGGGTATTTAGCCTTATTAAGCTTATACTAATATTATAGAGGCTATTAATAATACTAAATCTACTTAAAAGGACCTAATACCTCTAGAATTAAGTTTAAGGTAGTAGTATCGCTATTAGTAACTACCTCTACCTCTATAGAGGCTAATAGTATTAAGATAACTTCAAAACACTATATTATATATATATCTAACCCCTAGAGACTTCGTAATAGCCTTACTAACTTCCTAAATAGGTAATTTTAGATTAAATCTATTAATTTAAGTTTAAACGAACTAAATAGCTAAATCTGCTGTGAATTTTAGGCTAAATAGCTAAATCAGACCCCTCGATTTAACTTAATTGATTGGTTAGTAGCGCTGCCCACCATCACCATCATCAAGTTTCAACACCCCATCTAGAGAGGCCAACTGGTCAAGCTCAAAGCCCACGGAGCATACTACAATCCCAGCATTGCCCAAAACCATGCTTTAATCCATCTTTAGCAGGGCAGATAGGCCCATGCAGGCTGTTGACGGCGTTGGCAAAAGCGTCACATTGCTAGGCTGAATGTCAAAGGCCGTGAGAGCGGTGGTTTTGGAAACGGTTAGGTGGTGTAGGCAAGGGAGGTCGGGGTCCTGGCAATGACGACACCTGCGGCTACATCCCAGACCTCGCGTGATGAACGTAGTGATGTTCTGAGACGCCTGTACACTTGCTTGACCATCGTCCTCGGCAATTGCACCACTCCATTGTAAAGAACAACTTTTCTACAGACTCAGCCGCCGCCTCACGAGAGATGATGGCCATGATCCCCATCTCTAGCTCCATTGACCCGATCGCAGCCTTACGCGCCTCCTACTTCGCCAAATCAACCATGCTCTCCCTGTCGGCACTCTCGCTTCCCAGACCGGGACATGCGAGACTCAGACCAGGCTGTTAAGCAGAAATCCTATGCTTTCCTGGCAGCAAGGTGTCGCCATGAAGCTCTGGTACTCAGGGAGAAGGTCCAACGCTGCCAGCTTTTAAGACATGGCAGCTTTTAAGACATGGCAGCTTTCAAGATATGGCAGCTTTCAAGATATGGTATGAACATATCAGCATGACGCCACCTACTCTGCCCCCATGCCAAGGGTGATGCTAACTTCTATCCGTGGTAGCTCAGGTTTTGTAATGACTTCTGCCTTCAGTTCTACGTATTGTATCCCCTGTGCCTCATCTCCTTGGCCTTGTCTGTGACGACGCCTCTACATTCAAGTTAGAGCTCTAATCTGTCCCTCCCCGTCGTTGTTGACAACCAAGAAGCAACGGCCGAAGTGCAAAAGTCTCTGCGAGAACGATACCAGGCACGGTATGGCAGACCAATGCGGGAATCACCATCTCTCCCGCTTGGCTACTGATCAACCCACGCAACTTTCAAGCACCCTGGCCGCCCTGGAAGCCCTGGAGGAGGCATAACGACAGCTGTAGTGTGCGGAGACATTCAGTCGGAGCTTTCGGTGGTGGTATGGCCCTTCTCCCGTCAACATTCGTCAACAGCCAGCTGACTAACCCATTTGCAATCTCTTCATATACCCCCATAGGTGGCCATAGAGGTTTCTCTGTGAGCCATCCTGGCCCTCGAATATTTCCCCGTGAGAGTCATACGGCAGTGAACAAGGTGCGCCTCCAGGCGGCAAACTGCGAAGAAGAGAACTTAGAAGGGAAGAAAGAACCCATTCGCAAAGGCGCACGTTCTCCTCCTCACTGTTGAGCAGCCTCGCATTCAGCCCTGAGGTTTACGATGCCGATTTCCCTGGAGCTTCCTCGATGAACTTCCCCATTATGAGCGGCGGCCTGAGCTATTCTCATTTAGTTGGATGGAGAGCAGATTGTCTTTTAAACGGTTGTATGATCGACGGCTGCTGGACTTGGATCAAGTACATTCGTTTACTTTAGGTATGCTGAACCTTCGTGCTGCATGTGTCCAGGGGAGCGCGCTTCTCCGTTGTTCTCTTTGTGTCTGGGAACAGCAACCCGCATGTGCCATTCCTCAACACCAGATGAATGCTGTGCAATCGGAGTGAAAGTCTTTTAAGTGAAGGCAATAGCCCATGCTATAGCCCAGCCATCAGCCCTGTATCTCCAGTGAGGGCCAACAGCTAAGTGTGTTCCCTTTTATTTGAGCCTCAGCAAGCCAGTCGTGGACCCAGCGAAGGTGTCTTTAGCACTCTGAGTGGTGATCCCTCTAAAAGGGTTGGTGACGCGTCCTGGGGGGCACCAAAGCAGTCCCGGAAACACAGCACCGCGCCCCGCTTGCTCCTGATGCCACCTCGAATCCCAAGTTGGAAGCCGGTCTCGTTTTTAAAGAAACCAGCGTCGAACTGTTGTCGTCCGATGACATGCTCAACAGATCTACCAGACCGACCGGGCGGACACTGATGTCATGGTCGTCAATCCTGATCCCACCACTTGGAGTCCAGCCTCTTGGATGAAAAGCTAGCCATACATACAGGGCCAGGAATGGCAGCAACATCGACGTCAGAGGACTTTGGATCTTTGGCCCCCGTTTTCTTTGCAGTCTTCGAACTACCTCAGAGACCACAGGGCCGCCTGCGCCGCATCGGTACCGAATCGTCAAAGCTGTGGTTTATCCACCAAGGCTTTCTCTTCGCGCCGTCAGCGTACACATCAAGTCACGTATTTGATTTCACGTATCTGGCCATACAACGGCAAGTACATCATGAGGCTCGATTCTGTCCCAAGCTACTTCTTGACACCAGCCCTACAAGAATATTTCAATATACCAACAGCATTTATCCATAGCATGCAGATTGCTTCAACTCGCTTAATATACGTAGTGTGATTACCGTGGAAAACAGGTATATGGTTTGGGATAAGTTTGGTGCGTCGACAGATAAAATCCTTTTTGTGAACTATAGACGTTTATAGACGTGGCTGAGGCGTAGACTGAGACCAACCCTCACGCGAGACACAGTCACTCTTAAGTGATACATGTCTTCCAACGCCCTGGAGCTGGAACCCCAAAGAAAGTATCTGGGTGTTCAGGAAGTTATGACCATCGAACAATCGCTTTGGAGCTCTCATTGACCGCGCAATCTTATCCCAATGAACTTTTCCGATGCCATGTTGCTCTAGGACAACGTCAGAAGACTTAACTTGGTCTGATAAAGTTTGATGACAAGGGCTATTCGACGCTTACCAGCACCTCTTTGGGTAGGATCATATTCCAGACTCTTCCAAGGGTTGAGAACTGCAACCGCGTTCGTCCCATCGCACGCTTCATAGACATCATCGGCCACAGTCAGGTGAGAATCTGCAAGAAATGCAAGGCTGCGCAGGCTCGCTCGTACGGCACCAACGATCCTGGACTTGGTAACCAGAGGATCATAAACCTTGACGGAGATCCCATTCATAATCAGACACCGTATGAATGGAATTGCTGGCGACTCGCGTGTATCACCTGTATTAGGCTTGAAAGCAAACCCAAGCACCGACACCGAGTAGATAGTGGGGCTGTGCTCGACGAGGCTTCTTGCGTATCGCTCTGTCTGATACTCGTTGAGAGTCACGATGCTATTGAAGTAGGCGGCTACTTCGTCGAGCTCGAGTGCGTGTGCCGTGCTTGCCAGGTGGAAGACATCTTTCTTGAAGCAACTTCCGCCGAACCCGATAGACGCGCGAAGCATGCTGGGTCCTATTCGTGGATCCAGGCCACAGGCGCGCGAGACTTCAGTGATGTCTGCCCCTAGCTTGTCGCAGATGGCGCTCAAAGCGTTGATGCTGCTAATTCGCTGAGACAATAGCATGTTTGCGGCCAATTTCGACATCTCGCTGGAGCGGGTACTCATGGTAACGATCCGCTCTCGTGGAACCCATCGAGCGTAAAGGTCGCTCAAGGTGGCCGCGGCAGCGAGTCCTCCGGGTGCTGAAGACGAGCCGATCAAGACACGGTCTGGATTGAGGAGGTTCTCGATCGCTGTTCCCTCGGCCAGGAACTCTGGGTTGGAGAGAACCTCACACTTTATGCCAGGCCGAAGGCTCTGCCTCATGATTTGCGCCGTCTCCTCAGCCGCTCCGCATGGAACTGTGCTCTTGTTCACAATGATGACGTCTTTTGCGACTAGATCCCCGACTTGGTTGACTGCCGCCCTGAAGTTCCGGAGATCTGGAGCTGCACCAGCCCCATTGATGCCAGCATCTTGCAGCTTGGAGGGCGTTTCCACGGCGATGAACACAATGTCAGCTTTGGGCACCACACCGCTCAGGTCGGTTGAGAAGAACAAGTTAGGTTGAGGACGTCCCCGGATTTCCTGAAGCACAGCGTGCAGTCCGGGCTCGCTGACCGGTAACTGGTCAGAGTTCCATGCTTTGACGCGTGCCGCATTCTTGTCTAGGATATAAACATCAATATCAAGGACTTTGAGCGCTAAAATGGCGCCCGTTGGCCCTCCCTTCACGACAAATAAACGTTAGCATACTTAGGACTATCATTTGACGGAAATGCCATTTGGATGTAGTTGGATTCATACAACATAACCAGCTCCAACACATGCGAGTATTTTCTTTTCTTTCGGATAGCTCATCTTATGGTTAGCGGAAGTATGAATGATAATCAAGAAAATGTGCGTTACGTGCCGAAGATTGTTTTCAAAGTCAAGTCATGTAACATATACATGTATTTCCTGTTGAGGAGAGACGGTTAAAAAGGGTTGGACCACGACATTCGGATATCAAGTAAAAGCCGTTAACTCAGGGATTCCATTTTATACTTTTTGACTGCAGGATAGGAGGCTGGAATATTAATGAATCCTTGGCTTAGCGTTCCAAGACGCAGCTGACGATAATGATGCCATAGAGCAAAGAGCCGAAAATTCCCGACGTACGGTTCGTCATGCTGTTGATGTTTTCTGGAGCAAGAGCAATAATCGAATACACACACAGTGGTCATGTTGCAATGGTCAACCAGCTGCAAGATCATGACTTGCACACCCGGCAGGGATAGTACATCAGGATTCGACATTTGTAACGTTGTGTTGCATCTTGCAAGTGACATGATGCAGAGGCATTTTGCAAGAACTATTGTCACGCATCACGACAGTCCACAGGTGCCTCATCATGTCCATGAGTCGTACCATCATTCGGCAGACCGGTGGATTCCGTAGTCGCCGCGGGTAGAAGGCCGCTAACCTGCCCCATGCAGTTTATTGACTTTCCAAGCATGACGACCTTGTATTTTCACGTTACTCATTGAATTATAAATCCAAAAGAGAGCTCCCAACATTCCCTTTTACCTCACATGAGGAGCAGAGCATAACGCCGACCTCGGACGACATCTTCTTTACACCGCCGCGACTTCTCAATCAACGAAAAGTATACACGATGGATACTGCTACCACTCCTACTGCTGTTGTCACTGGTGTACGTTGAACGATCTCCTGGGTTTCTTTTCTCAGATAGGGACACTGGGCTGACTTGTTGTGTACGTCAAGGGCGCAGGGTTTCTGGGCTCGCACCTCGTAGGCTTGTTGTTGGATGAGGGCTACCACGTCATCGCCGTCGACTCCCTCTGGACAGGTTCAACTGGAAACGTCACCAAGTTCAACAACCATCCCAACTACACCTTCCTTCGGTAAGGATTCGGATCGCCGCGAAGACCCAGCCCCTTATGACTTTCTGCAGGCATAACGTCGCGGAGCCATTCCCAGAGCAACTTGCGAGCGCCAGTCGCATCTACAACCTGGCGTGTCCTGCTAGCCCGAAGAGATTTCCGCAGGCACCACTTGGTATCCTAGAGACATGCTACGTGGGCACCAAAAACGTACTGGACTTGGCTTGCAAAGGCGGCGCTCGTGTTTTGCTTGCCAGCACTTCGGGTAAGTCTAGAGTTACCGGCCTATGAACGGCGCCTGATTATTCTGACCGAACATTTGGCTGACTTGGTGCGGTAAAGAGGTTTATGGAGACCCGCTTGTATGTCCCCAAACTGAGGATTACTGGGGTAATGTGAATTCTTTCGGTGGCCGGTCATGCTACGATGAGGGTAAACGAGTCGCGGAAACACTCGCTTACGGCTATCGTCTTGAGAAGAATGTTGATGTCCGGATCGCGCGAATTTTCAACGCTTATGGTCCGGGCATCAGACCTGACGATGGTCGCATCGTTCCAAACTTCATCGCTGCCGCCCTGAGACAAGAAGACATCAAAATCACAGGTGATGGGACAGCCAGCCGCTGCTTCCAGTACGCTGGCGATTGTGCGATGGGGTTATACAGGCTGATGGAAAGTTCGGTCCTCACTCCTGTCAACATAGGCCGCGAGGAGGAGACCACTGTTGGAGAGATGGCCATCCTGATCAACGATATCGTTGCCGAAAAGACGGGCCGGCCCAAGGTGGGGATTGTGTTTGGGCCAAAACCCGACGATGACCCATACAGGAGGGTCCCGGATGCTCGCAAAGCGAAGCGCGAGCTCGGTCATGAAGCAAAGGTTGGTTTAAAGGAGGGTCTGGAGAAGACTGTTGAGTGGTTTGCCAATCTGCGAGAGTTCGGCCCACTCCAGGCGAAGATTTGATATTTTCCAGAGCACATGTAGACGAGAAGTATATTTGATTGGTGCAAGGAGCTTGTATAAGTTGCTATGTCTGCGAATATAGCCATTTCAATCAGCAGACTGCACTCGCGCGTCCGTGACTCGGTATGAAGACCCAGACAACCAATGCTAGAGCCAAACATCCTAAAATAAAGGGCTGCAACGCTATCACGCTGTACCGTTGTGCAAGTAAGCCCACCGCAAAGGGTAACAGAGACGCCCCGCAGCCACCCAGAGCTGCTACGAATCCAATCACCACGACGTGTAGATGAGGCGGCAGCAATCTAGTGACAACAGAAACCGCATGGGGAAACATGGGTCCGATGAAGAACCCCTGGAAGGCAGCCGCGATTGCGGAGGCGTAAAAGTTGGGGACAAGCCAGAAAACCAGTTCTGCCACCATGGCGAGACATAAGTAAACCTTACAAGGTAGAAGGCATGTAAGCAGGTTGCGACGGGGCTGGCAAGCGAGTTCGCGATGGAGCTGTCTGACTTACAGAAACAGATAGTTTTGGGCCTGTCATGTTCGTCACAAATGGCAATAAAATCCGGCCAAAGGTAATGCCTATCCAGTAACCTGTGGCGCACATGCCGCTGGCAAAAGCTTCACCGTTCCGAACGCGCAGCATGAACTCCACTACCCAACCGCCCACGGATACCTCGACACCGATGTAAATGAGCACGAACAACGCCGCGAGCCATGCAACGCGGGCTTCGGGAAGTGTTACCAGCGTTACGCGCATGCTGACGGACTTGCCATCCGTCCCCTGCAATTGTGTCATGGACTCTCGGTACTGACGCCCGGTGTAGCTCCAAAATGTTGCAGTCAGGGCGACCAGTTCAACGATAGAAACGCCCAACTTGAGAGACATGTCAGCAAAAGAGATCCACAAGAAATGGCACAATTCTCTTGACCCACCACGACGTAGTAGAACTTGAACCAGGGCAGCGAAGCTCGGGCAATCATCGCTGTAGCAATGAGAGGGCTGATGATCCCGCCGACGCCGTAAGCCGCGTGGAGAAATCCGAGAAGTTCGTTGGATCGATCCAATCCCCCGATCCAGGCGTTCCAGGCTGCATCCGACAGTCCATTGCCAAGACCGGCAATCATGAACGACACGATCAGCACCGGAAAGGGGGGGTGGAGAATGCTGATTACGGCAGATATAACGTGGGCCGAGCCGCATAAGACAGCCAAGCCTCGCTGGCCGACAGCATTGTGGAGTCTCGTGTTTAGGACACCGGATGCTACATACCCAATGAGTGGCGAGAGGAATAGCAGTGATACGGTGGTGTAATTGACGTTGTAGAAATCTTGAAGCTAGGTGACGAATGATTCAGCTAAGTGGGTTCACTCAGCATGTCTAATAATCGACTCACATAAGGAAGAATTGCCTGACTCGTACAAAGCGCGCATCAGTAAGAGACCCGGCAAAAACTTTATCGTCCGAACCTACCCCATAGGCAGCATCGAACATGCCCAGATTGAGCAAGCTCCAAAAGCAAGCTCCGACCCTACGAACGTTGGATGGAGGCCGACTCCACGTCTCAATTGCCGGTGAGGAGAAAGAGCCCTGAGATAGGCCCATCGCAGTGGGAGACGGTGTTGTCTTTGGCTCAGCTGTTGTGGCTGATACGTGAGTGGGTTCCGGTTGAATTGACATTGTTAAAGCTGTTATGATGGTTGAATAATTTCCTTTGGGCTCGTTTATCGGTTAGCCAATATTTATAGCCGACTTGTTTGGGGAAGTGGCGGCGTATATCCTACAACACAGTCAACAAAGCTATTACTGCATACCTGCATCCACTGCAATACTACCGCACTGAGCCAAAACCTCTGTGCGCAAACATGATTACAGAGAGATTTGTATACCACTCAATTGTCAATGATTACAACGGCCAGTGTTACGACTGTGTTACGCGACAATAAGTGCCAATTGCGTTGGACAACAGTGAAGCTTGCCGTGAAACACCATGAGCTCAAATGAAACTTAAAGTACCTATCTATAGAGCAAATCATTGGTCTTCTGATTGTTATGCACCATAGACTTCTACCAGGCTGTTTGTCAGTGAAACGCCAAAAGCACATGTAGATGGCTGACTGTTATTCACGACATGAGGCAGTTGGCTGGTTCGTTCCGATGTAGTTACTGTCACGGTGGAGAAACAATATCCGTACGGTCGAAGCCACATCTGTGGGCGCGTATGGCCCGCGTGCAAGTGCTAATATAACAGCTCGCCTGTGAGCAGGTACAGGATTGAACGCATACGCCTTCGGGTGTTCCGGACGACCTGTTCGATGTGCCGGTTCCCCACTGTCAAGGTAGCTACGAGCTAGATATGCGAGTGCAACTCTAAGAACTAAAACTCTGGAGGAGGTGTGGACCTTGAAATGGAGCTCAGGATGTACTCAAACTACTCGTAGTTCGCTCGATACCATAAACAGAACTACTCTCCAGCTCCATCCAATTCATCCCATGAAGACGCAGGTGCGCAGATTGCAAGCACTTTGAGTTCTTACAGTAAGTTTAACAGGGATGAACAAACAAGGGGAGAAGATATATTAAGACTTTTCAAAGTCCCATACAATCAAATCTAAATTTAAAATTGCGGCCCGGCACGCTGTGGATGGCGGATGTACCCATACCAAAGACCCTCCCGCCTACTGCAGGCGATTCAGCATCCCTGTTGAAGGTTCAACCCTTGGAACTTGGCATGGTATGGCACTCGTAATGGCGTGCGCAGCGAATACAGCTCCATTCGGGCGCAACTACAGACCGCAGTCAAATGACTCCATTCCTGGCACATGACCCCAGCGACGGCCGCACGGTCTATATAATTTCTTCCAATGGCGGCCGTCGTCAATGATTCGACTCTGCAGTGCGTCACAGCGACCTCGCAGCGCAACACTTCGCCCCCCATGCCAGAACGTGAGACGGACCTTCTGCAGAATAAGGCCCGTATGGCCGCCGGGGAGTTGTATTTTGCATTCACGCCGGACCTTATTGCCGACCGACGACGATGCTCAGTCGCGTGCGAAAACTTTAACCGCGCCGGACATGTCCCTCGGAGAGCGCTGGCCGTACTGATCAAGGAGTAAGTAAACCGCACAGGCGTAGACCTTTTCATGTCCATTGCTAAGAGTTTTCACATCAGCATCCTTTGCGACCCTAGTCCTCTCCCTGAGCCCGGTTCCACTGTTGAAGAGGATGAAGAGGCCTTGGCTGACGAGCCCTGGATCGATGGGCCGGTGAGGATGGATTACGGATGCAACGTGCGGTAAGCAGGGACAAGCTACAACACTCCCATCCTCATCGATCGTTTCTCACACGCATGCGTCAAACTCGTATAGCTTGGGCAAAAACGTTTACATCAATTTCAACAGCGTGTGGATCGACACCTGTATGATCGAAGTGGGTGACCGTACCCTTATCGGACCCAACTGTTCTTTCTACAGCGCCGCTCATCCATTGGATCCCGTCTTGCGGAACGGCACCAGAGGTCCTGAATACGGGAAGCCTATCAAGATAGGGCCAGACTGTTGGTTTGGGGGGAACTGCATCGTCCTCCCCGGTGTGAATATCGGCAGGGGCGTTACTGTCGGCGCTGGCAGTGTTGTTACGAAAGATATTCCAGACTTCGTTGCCGTTGCTGGAAATCCGGCCCGCATTATCAGGGAAGTTCCACGCTCTGGAGGGTTCACGGCCTGTTAAATTCGATGCCAGCGCAATCTCGCAAGCGACTGTCAGATGCTAAATTTACTATCAAGTAACTATCTGCCAATGTGTGGTCATCCCCGAGGGCATGTGACTTCATTCCGCTACGGGAGCGGGAATCTCTCTTTGTTCCTAGCCTTATAATTTCTTGCTCGACTGGGAACCAGAAGGGCCAAGAGCATGCCATCCTTCTGGAGCAAACTCCTCTATTGCCCCTTTGAGAGCTTGCTTTACAAGTCGTCAGCAGATCGCTCAATATACCGTCCACTTTAGAATTCTCTCCGCCAACTCCCCTTGGTGTACAACGATACTTACAAAATTGCAAATGTCTTGATGCCCGGGCAGGTGGTAGCCCTTTCCAGCCCCGCAGGGCAGCACCACAGGCTTGCCTTGGTACTTGAGGCGGACATACCAGGATTGAGGCTCCGCAGTATGTATCTTGCCAAGCATAGCGTCTTCTTCAACCTTGCAGAAAAGTTCAATCGCGATGTGAGCGGCGTACGGTGGCCAGTGCCACTCCGAATCGCTCATGGCACCCAGGGATGCCAGAACTCCCGCAATTGCGGAATCGTGACACGCGGAAAGAAACATCCGGGGTCCAGATGTGCTTTGCCCCGTAGTAAACGTCTGCTGAACCTGACGCTTTGCGCCAAGCATGCGTTGAAGAGCTTCTTGTAGCATCCTTCCGACACCGAGGCTGCGAAACTCCTTATTGTGGGCATATCCGGCGAACTCTTCTTCGGCACAGATTTTCTCCATTGTAGACCTCACGCCAGGATCGAGAAGTTCGGGGGGGAGGAATTGTTCGGGCTCCGAAGTCGCTGCCACGGCAGAAATCGTATCATGAATGTCGTGTAACTTCACAGGCTGAGAATCCACCCCGATGGGAACGATTTCGGGCATCCAGGGCCCCAATTTGGCATTGATTTGCTTCATCTCAGGTGAGTTGTTCCCTGAACCCACGCATCGTCAGTAGTGGGATATGACGACACCGCGGATCAGGCCATCAGGGTGGGGGTCCCCTCGCGCTTGCGTAACTCACATTTGATTGCGGCTCTCCTAGAGAATTGCCAAAGTAACACGGCAAATCTCTCGCTGTAATCCTCGGGTGGCAGAAGCGACTCATGTTTGGGGTCCTCAACGAATACCAGCATGTCCTGCAGGCTGTGGTTAACGACGTCTGGGGGATAGAGACCGCGAAAAACATGTTGCAAAGAGACGAAAGTCCTCTGATACTGTGTGCTTCGGAGATAGATCATTCTGATATTGTTCAGCATCGGGGGCAGGAATCTCAGCTGCTCCACATAGAGCTTGCGAAGTTCACGGCCGAGCTCGGTTGAGGTGGCTCGGCCATTGTCGGTCAATTCTCCGTAGTCACTGGTGTAACATCAGTTTGAGTGACTACAACGGGTCCGCTGGCACTCTGCACTTACCAACATATATCCTTCCGACCATCTGGCAACAACGGCTTATCAGTCTCGTCATCGATAGGAACAAGCTTTGATGCAGTGCCTTCAAAGAGGGTCTTCGGGGCTTTCGCCGACGTATTGAATGCCCATTCACGGCCCAACGTTGCTTTAGAAGCTCTTGTTATCTATGAGTCGGTGTTGCATGACTCTCCTCTGCCTACCTAGTTGGGAGCTCGCCTGATCAGTTGTCAGCGAATATGAGAATTAGCCAGTTGTGCGGAAGTACCCACGTTTTGTACTCGGTTGTTGTGCGGTGTCCGCTCGCCTTCACTCATATCGTCAGTCACAACATAAGTTCAGGCCAATGTGGAAGGTTTTGGGCTACCGTGTCGGAAGAACTGCAATAATTCATCACAATTAGCATGCCCACTGATGCGGACCTCAGGGTTGCAACAAACATACCACTTGGACAAGTTTGAGCTGGAGTTGCGGCGGGTACATGGCTACGGCTCGTTTGTGGTCAAATAAGCAGTGACTCCCTTTGAGGCTGTCCACTCACGCAATGCAGGGAAGTTGAAAATGCTTCGTTCCTGAAGATTTTGTTTTCGGCTGTGGGCAATTTATGTTTAGCGCAGAAGAGAGAAAATAATGAACAGAAAGGAGATGTGGATAGGGAACTGGAAAAGCCGGCTAACTTCGGCATTAAGCACCGCAACTCTTTAATGATGCAATCACAAATCCTACGTGAGGATTTCGCTCACAGCATTACAATCAAGCGCTTCTTAATTGATTTTGCTCACACTTACCACAGTTTTAGTCATAGAGTATGGATTAGAAATTGAAAAACATGATGTGCGGACTCTCTGTGCTTGGCTGCTTATGCTACGAACGGCCGCTGAATCCGCCTATCTTGGACATGTTTTCAATCAGCTCTGCTTCTGCTAATAAGCCCGCATCGAACTTCTTTCTGATGTCCACCAGCCATTCCCTGTGAGCATGTCTGTCTAAGTCACCCTGGGATGGCCATCTGTAATCATTGATGAACGTGAAGTGCGGTTAGTCGGAAATATAACACTGAAGTTAGAGGCAGAGATGGTTTGACTTACTGCTCTAAAAGATGGAATACAGTACTACTGGGCCCCACTGGGCTGCCAGCCATCTCGAAAACCTCGTATCGCACGCAAGTCTGTTCTATCGCGTGGACCTTTGTAGCCAGGTCGAGCAAGACTTGGCGAAGCTGATGACAAAGTTAGGCGTGCTACATGAATCTCTTTTGAGCAATGGCCTAAAATAAGGGGCGTACTTCACTCTCTCTTCCCGTCGCAGGCCGAAGGGTGCACCATAAAGTCACTGCTTGCGCTGCCATAGTGTAAAGTGGCGGGTTGGAAATAGGGCATGCCACATCTCAATGCTTGAAGGGGGACCTGCCTGGCTGGTCTTATACTCTCCTGAAATTCAATTTGTTTAATAATGTTCAACGAATGACTAAGCTTCTGATTTAGTTGGAGGAAAACAGCAGAGGCCTCAGAAGTAAAAGCTGAGGTGCCTCCAGGTTCTCACCAAGTAGAACACAGGTGCCCAGCAAAGTCTTAGCATGGAGATCGCTTTTCTCAGTGCAAAGACGGTCTTCGGAGCCACTTACCGGGATGGTACTGGGGTATGTCGGAGCCGGCGGGTCAGCCGATCGTTTTAAGCATTCGCATGATCGAGCCCCACAAGTACTATGCTAACCTTTTAGTCCGGGGGATATGGATGTAACCCTGTCAGATTATCGGGTGTGTATTGAGGTAAAACCGAGCGTAGGGGGGGCCCCTGGAGGTGCGCCACTAGGGGCGCGCGAGAGCGGTGGTGTGCGGCAGAAGCGCCAATTTGACAAACCCTTTCTAATGCTACTGTTACAGTGACTTGCGACGACGCATTGAGCCCGGCGCATCCTTTGTGATGTGTCTCTTGATATCCACCACATCAAACTCTAATTACTTGAGAACTTGGTTTTCTGTCTTTCTGACCCCTGCAGCATTCGTACCGTGGGTCCATGGTAGACGGCCGGCTATATTTACCGTAATCCAGCGGTGTAAGCCTCCAACGTCCAGCAGGTTCGCTGGAACACTGTTACACATGCTCTTGCCACGATGGATATCGAGAAGCTGATCGGCAACCCCCCATTCAAGCTGGACGACGGAGATGTCCGGGCCCTGCGAGGTCAGTTCGATGATGTCCAGCCTCACACGTGGGATGAACTCCAAAACGTAATTGGTGAGTTACTTTATCGGGGTCAGCTCCAGACGGACCGACGTCGGTGTCAAGAACCACGCTGACCACGTATGCAAATCAGCTGCCGGAGATATGGGCCATCTCCGAAGAGCACCTCAGGAGCAGCGAAGATACATATTGTGGCTTGCTGAGATAGCCAATAATCATGGCTCCAGCTTGAGCTTTGTGTGCAGCGAGAGACTGCATTGGCCACAGCCCATTGTCGCCCGGAGCGCCCTGCTTTTTGCACATGCAGAGGATTGGAAGATCATTTGGAATGACTGGCCATACCACATGGCGGATGGAATCATGCACTTGGTCCTGTGGACGAAAAGCAAGATACCGTTAGATGCAGAAACTGGATTGCCCACGGCGGATGCGGCCGGGCTGATTCATAATTTGATTGACTACGCGTTGGGGAAGCCTCTAGGTTGTTACATGAACGAGAACATTCTCTGGTTCAAGCAGAAGGCAGCCTGGCAAAGCGTCAAGGCTCTGGATCACATTCACATCATGATGCGCAATGTTCAGCAAAACCAGGTGGAGAAGGTAATCGGGCAACGCCGCTCCCAAGCGCTGCAGACACCCACGGGCATTGGTGATGAGCGCCAAATTGCATCAAAATTGAGTTGAGATAACTTCGTCACTAGATAGGTACAATTTCTAGCATGTCCTGCTGATCTATGACGTTCTTCTAACTACAAAACTTACAGCCGCAGCACGATTCGCATGTTCATTTTCCGTGATCGAAAAATTTGTGAACAGCAGAAATCACTTTGGCCTGGTCGTGTTCGCTAAGTCCAAAGTAGATGGGCAGACGAACGAGCTGAGAGCTTGCGCGCGACGTGTTCTTATCCTCCCCGACAAACCTCCCGATCCTCTGGCCAATTGGCGACAGATGCAGAGGAGTGTAATGAGAGGATACGGTCACTTGGTTCTTTTTCATGAAATGTATGAAGCTCGAGCGGTGCGATGCATCCCGTAGCTTCAGGTAGAAGATGTGCCCGTTTTGCTCGCAACCTTCTGGCAGCTTGGGCAACTCGAATCCTCCAGAGCTTTTCGATAACGGCTGTAGCGAAGCCCAGTACATATTCCAGATTCTGAGCCTGGTTCTCTGGATGGCGTGCGCTATCTCAAGCTGGGACCAGAGTAGCGCGGCAAGGACTTCGGGCATGATATGGTTCGATCCGACATCCTGCCACTCGTAGCTCGGCAGCTTCTCGCGGAGGAATTGGACCCTGTTTGTACCATTGTCGTAAACAATCTCGGCTCTCTCAGTCAGCTCGTCCCTGTTAATCAAGACGGCACCACCCTGGCCGCCGGAAGTGAAGTTCTTGGTCTCGTGGAAACTGATGCAGCCGATGTGGCCTATGGTGCCTAGGAAGGTGCCGCGATATTTTGAAGCGAGACCTTGCGCTGCGTCTTCGATGACAAAAAGGTCGTACCGTGACGCAAGATCCATCAAGGCATCCATGTCGCAGGAAATACCGGCATAGTGGACGGGAACAACAGCCCGCGTTCTCGGGGTGATGGCAGCTTCAACAAGACTGATGTCCATGTTCATCGTGTCCTTCTCGATGTCGACAAATACGGGTATTGCCCCCCTGGCGACGAACGCATTCACCGTAGAGACGAACGTGTAGCTAGGGAGGATAACTTCGTCGCCGGGCTTGATATTGATCACCATGGCGGCCATCTCGAGAGCTGTGGTACCTGACGTGACCAGGAAAGCTTCGCCGGATTGCATAAGGCTCTTGAGCCACTTCTCGCACCGGCGAGTATAAGCCCCTTGAGCCAATTTGCCCGTTTTCAACACATCATCGACGTACTGCAACGAGTTTGGTAGATGAACGGGTCTTGAGTGTGGAATCATGTTGTAGCGTTTGAAATGGTGTTGTTGGGTTTTTGTTGTTGGTTGGTCTTGCATGGTGCTTCTTGGAAGGAGTTGTGAGATGTTTACATAGACCGTTTGCCAGCTTGCCGCCGATGATCGTGCAAGCGGCGGCGCATTCGGAGGAACGTCGCCAGGAACGTTGCAACGCCGAGGATCCCCGCCGGGTCAAGAAAGATGACAGGTCACCTCCTCCCCCCACAACAGACGGACGTTAATCAATTAGAGTTCTTGCTCGTCTTTTTGTCTGTCTCCTCGCAAGTTCTTGGTCACAACTGCGGCTGGTCGGTACCTCGCCCAGGTTCTTCATGTATACCTAGCTATTCGCGCACACGAATGTGGATAAATTTCCCGCCGTGTCAACCATCCGCCAAATGTCCCTGTAGAATCAATTTACTTCTGAATTCGTTTTCCAAACATGGTATCCCTGACAGTACTCCTGCTATGTGCGGTGCCTCTGGTCGCCTTACAGAATATCCCTTCCTACGGGGCAAAATTCTCAAAACGCGGTTTATACTTACAAGCTCAAACAGCGAAGCGCAACATCAGTCTTGATGCACCACTGGTAGACCTTGGATATGCCCGATACCAGGGTTATCATGATGCCTCATTCGACATCTATACTTACCGAGGGTAGTAGTTGCAAATACACATTGCGCATTCGTCGGTTATTTTCAGAGGCGTTGACGCTTACTCTCAGCGGGTGATTCAGAATACGATATGCATCAAAGCCCGAGCGTTGGCAGCCCCCCAAAAGACCGTCTTCGGGCCGTGATACAGAGAGGATTCTACCCGCGACCGAGAATCCACCAAGGTGCCCTCAGTCGCCGCCGGGGCCTGTGTGAGTAGAAGCCCCCCGTCATTCAAGCCAAAGAAGCTTACACGTGATAGCATTTCCAACTACTCTTTTGAGAGAGATGCTCAAGGTAGCGAAGATTGTCTTTTCCTCAACGTCTTTACACCAGTGAACAAAACGAGGCTGCCGGTATTGTTTTGGATCCGTAAGCAAGCCACTTTCATAGTTGCCCCTATTTTCTTTTGAAAAGAGGCCGGGATGATGGCTAATTCATGCACAGACGGTGGCGGCTATGGACAGGACTGGGCCGCAAATTACGACTTTTCACACATGGCAAAGACGGTTGACAACGGCTTCATGACTGTTATTATACAATATCGTCTTGGTGCTTTTGGCTTTGCGTCATCTGGTGAGATTGCTCACTTTGGGACCCCTAATGCCGGCCTTCACGACGTGCGTCTTGCGCTCGAATGGGTACAAGACTACATCCATCTATTTGGAGGGGACCCTGCACGCGTCACCATCGCTGGTGAGTCTGCCGGCGGAGGCGCTGTTATGCTGACAGCGATGGCCAACAACGGCTCCGACGGGACCTCGCTATTTCAACGAGCCATCGTCTCGAGCCCATATTTGCCTACTCAATGGTATGCAATATTCTTCGAGTTCCTGGCTCGCTGCGGGCACAACCACTGACATTCTACGGCAGGAACCAAAATGACATTCAGCCTTCCCAAGTATACTACAGTCTAGCTGCGCATGCTGGCTGCATGAGCCCCGTCGTGACGCAGAACGGGAGCGTATACGACTGCTTGCAAAGTGTCGATAGCAACATCTTGCAGAATGCTAGCGCTTATGCAAGCATGGAAGGAAAATGGGGCCAATGGGCCTTTCTGCCGGTCACTGATGACAGGCTCATCACCCAGAGACCGACGGAGCAGCTTCTGAAAGGCAGCGTAAACGGCAAATCCATTCTTTCAGGGAACAATGCTAATGAAGGGACGTTGTTCGTGCCCACGGACGTTGACACCCGAGACCGGTTTGTATCACGTATGAAGTTGGATTATCCGCTTTTGGGAGAAGATAACATAACTGCGATCATGAGACTCTACGACATTGAGAGGGTGCAGTCGGTCGAGACGTTATATGACACCAATGGCTTGACACCGCCTTTTGCAACAAGCCATTCTGGGATCGCTAAGGGCTGGCTTCAGGCAGCATACAACCTTTATGCCGAGGCTACATTTGTCTGTCCCGCAATGTGGCTTGCAGACGCCTTCGCCCGAGGAGATGGTAACTCAGCTGTACAGTCACGATCTTGGCGCTATCAGTATTCGCCACCGCCTGCTTTCCACGATGACGACCTCGACGTTCTCATGAAGGATGTTCACAACACCAACGATACAGATGGAGCAGATGAAAGCGTCGGATTTCGGCTGGCATTTCAGAGCATCTGGGGACGTTTCATCATTGACGGGGATCCGACTTTGACTGACGAAATGATACTGAGCATCCAGCAAACAGGGGAGAACGTGACTGCCGCGAGCACTTCACAGTGGCCAGCTTGGGGATCTGAGTCTCCGGACGCCAGCGGCTCCGACAATTCAATGCTGAACTTGAACCTGACCCTTGTTGAGGGCGGCGTGGCCAAATTTGACGTCGTAGATGGATTCTCTTGGGAGGGAGGAAGGGTAGACAGGTGCAATCTTTGGGCGGATTTAGGTTACTGGATCCAGGCTTAGACCAAGGCTCTACAGTTCAGTCCCATCACTTGGAATGTGCCCTCAAATTCTTAGGATAGTCCAATACAGCAGATTTGCGGACTCTGAGCCAGCCTGCGGATGGTGCACCTGGTGGCTGTGCTTGAGTATTTGCCCTTTTGTAGTGGCACAGGTAGCAAATTAGCCATCTTGGTTGGTGTCTTCATGGTTCTATGCGATACACTGCATCTAGTTCCCCAAGTTGCGCCGATCAGCGACGCTGCGGCCTTCCGCAGCAACATCTTCCCCGGCGCAAGCTTGTTCGAGACCGGCATCTTCGCCAACGACGCAGGTTACCGTATGGCAACCTGGTAACCTGTAAGGTCATCATTTCATAGATGCATGGAAGGAGAGATTGTGCACATCATGCGTGCTTGATGAGCGTCGGTTTCTCCTTCCAAAAAAGCGCAGACTCGTAAGTAGCCCAGAGGAGAAGCCTGAGGATCTTCTTCAATGGCCTACTGGTGGACAGCTCCCAGGTGAGGCAGTTACGGTCTGCGAAACACCAACAGAACTGGAGGATAGCAGAGGGAAGCTGGATCTCTCGTCAGGGCGCGAGTCGATGGAGCTGCAGGATCGAGGCCGTGAAAGGCGGCGTAGGGAGACTTGCAGAGAGCAGCAGCGCCAACATCTTGACCACCTGGAGCCGTGCCACACTGGTGACAGTCGAGAAGCCGTCCAAAGTGCCCCGTACATAGAGCTTGTTCCGGAGAGCGGGAGAAGAATGGGCCCTGGGTACTGAGGTCGTCTTGACGAGCGTCATCCTGTCTATGGCAGCCAGTAGCCACCTCTCGGCATATCTCCGGGGCTGCAGCATCACACAGGCGACTCTTCAAGATATGCAGTGGACCTAGAACGTTGGCCAGCCATTGACCAGCCGTAGCCTGCTGTTATCCAGCAGGGGAGGGGAGAGCGGAAGCTTTGGCTGTTGGCCCGGGCGACGGCGAAATTGCCATGGGACCGCGACGGGGAAGAAACGACGACACATGACATCCGTCGCTGGCGTTCGGTGACTCCGGGGGATGACGGTGTCTTTCGGGAACCACGCAACCAAGATGCAATGCAGACCTTGCACGGACGGACGCGTTGGCAATCCCGTCGCTGAAGCATCGCCGTTGTCGCGAGAACTCGCCATGTCCTACAGCATGCACCTCTGCCCTCCCAAACTACGAGCGAATCCAAGCTACGACTTTGACAGGACGAAGATGGACTGTTGGCTGCGTGCTGGTCGTTCCCATGGTGCACCTGTCGAAGGAGGCGCGCCGCGGTGAACGGGAGAAGCTGCACGACTCTTGGATCGGCCTGTATGTGACGATCAATTGGACTGGCATTAGAGTGAGGGCGCATCAGAGCGCGCCAGTCTCTGTCAATGTGACGCGCCAGCCTCCACCTCCATGGCGACGGAAGTTCCGCGAGCCGATATGTGTGTAGCAGCACCATTGGAAAGACGTCGTGAGCACGCCCTACTCAGACCGGTCAAACGACTATTGCTCATAAGCAAAGTCCGGGATCCTGCGTCTGGAATCTACGGTCAGCTTGGGCCAAGGTCTTGATAGCCAGCTTCAGACCGACTAGCATCTCGTCAACAGATGCGCTCCCCACCGACACAAATTCAAGGCTCGGGCGCCCCACAATCAACATTATCCAACGAAGGACGCTCTCAAAGACACTTTGGGGACGAGATACGCTTCCATGCCTGACTTTGTTCCACAATTGGCTGCATATGTCGACGTTACTTGATCCGAACGCCGTGTTTCCGCGATCTTCTTGCTCCTAGCCGCCCAGTAGAAGTCCCAAAATACTCGCGAGAAACGCCACAGTACCCATTTTCGAGGGATTCTCCCACCCCGGCAGCCACATGACGACGATGACGAGGAGCGGCCGAGGCGGAAGAAGACCAAGGCCTTCTCTAGCGGCGGCGAGAGCGATGATTTGGAGGAGGATGGGAGCGACAGCGGGGGCAACGAATGGCACTACGGCAGGAACGAAGACGAGGATTCGGGGCCTTGATCTGACTGTGTCTCGCTGGAGATGTAGGCTCGTCTGCCTCTGCCGCAGCAAGTTCGATGGCGTAGTCCAGGTTGATGGCCATCTCTCCAAGCTCGTGCAGCTTCTCATCCCCGTCACCCAAATGTTACGAAGCGCGAATTGAACTAACCCTCGAGTCGTCCCGTGATGGTGCTGTTTGTGCTGATGGTGTTGACGGTCTTGTGGACGGGTCGATAGCTGAGGCGGCAGCCGTTCGGAACCTGCGTCCAACCCCATCAGGGAAGCATCGACCACACACCTGCCTAGGTACCTGCTGTAGTTCTTCGGAGCCATCCAGAACCTATGCGGCGAATCTTCGGACACAGTCAAAATGGCGTTCTCGAGCCTTGGTGCCTTCCCGAGGAAGATGCGAAGGCTGCGCCCCAGGGTTCAGGCTTGGACCTGCTTCGGCGAGGGTGCACAAGCCCGCAAGCTACGAGATGGTTGCCATTCGAATGCTACACATGGATCAGCGCCATGATAATCGGGGTCGGTCGACGCGATGATGCCGTCTCTGTCGAAATGCGGTGGACCTCACAGGGGCGGGGGAAGACCGGCTGCCTGCGCACCGGGTCTGGCAGACAGGAGTAGCACGAACTTGGTCTCCTCGTCTGTTTCGTGGTCGCGTCCGCTATTGGAAGCATTGGTGACAATGCTTTTCGGCGGTGTTGACATCACATGAGACCCCATGTTGATGACTCTGGGATGGCCTGGGGTTCTTAAGTGGGAATGGAGGCATCTGAGTGCACCGGAGGCACGGAGTGACAGCTGGTGCAAGGTGCGCAAAGTTCATGTGACAGCTGGCAACCAACCCTTCAAGGTGCTGAAGGCTTGCGTCGCAGCTGGCGAGCACCCGAAGAAAAAAAAAAAAAAGGGAAAAAAAAGAGGATGCGCAACCAGTGGGTAAGGTGAGAGAAAGAACACTAAAGGTGCGTCAGCTAGCGTGGCTGCCCCTGCCCTTTGAGCAGAAGTTCTGCCGAGGTGGGGTGTTGGTGTCCGATCGCAGCGCTGACCACTGTGAAGGGTCGAAGTGGTGTTGCAGAGCGCTCAGAGATACGCGGACATTTCAACCAAGTCGATTTGCCAGTTGAGGTCCATGATTGCACGCCAATGCAAGTTTGAGCTGGCGAGTGAATCCAAATGCAGTGGTGTTTTGCACTTGGTGTGGCTCTTGGACGCAGAGTGGCCGCACCAGCCACGCCTTTCCAGCTTGTGCCACACAGGAGACACGTACGGATATCTTTCTCGGACGAAGACGACCCGTAATTAAGCTGCTGACAGAAAACTCAATCGCACTCAAAACCCCGCTTCCCTTTGTGCGACTTCCCTGGCTGGCTGACATCTCTCACACTGGAGTGGTGTTTCCCGCCATTAAATTTCCGACAATAACGTCGTGTTGTGGCTCAATCGGGGGGACTCCACACGTCGCTCACAGTCAGGCTAGTGGCTCCACTAGGCGAGCTTTTCTAGCCAATAGGAGAGGTTGTCTGACAGACATCCTCGAGGACCCAGGCCAGTGGCTCCACTAGCCGAGCTTTTCTGGCCAATTGAGGTCGGAGATTTCTCGTCCTTCGAGCTGGGCAAGTGTGGTGCTTGCATCCCGCCCACCCCATCCCCGGCACCGCACCTGTTAAGCGCTGCGGGCTGGCCGACTCCCGTGAGACTTGCCCTTCCTCCAACCGCCCGAACGAAGATGCACGCAACAACCCTTCCCATGCCGATCACCGTCTCAACCTTTGACCCGACCAGCCAAGCTGGGTGCCCTCCAGGCAGCTTGAGCTCGACGCCATTCCACCATCGCCTGGCACGCGGAACGAGCTGCAGCGACGAGTCCGACAACAACACCTTCTGCCACAACGCATCACGCCTAATCTCCAGAGAAGGCATGGCTGAAACGGCATCATAAATCGAGCTTGGGATACACTGCATCGATTCTGCAAGTTGCGCCGATTAGCGACACCGTGGCCTGCCGCAGCGACATCTTCGACAACCGCGTCATCCGCGACGAAGGCCTGTTTGACGTCAGCATCTCCACCGAAAACACCTTCAATGCAGGAAGCATTTCCGACCCCTGCGTCCCCGCCGACAGCATTTCCCCTTCGCAGAAGCTCGTGCGAGACCGACATCTCCGCCGACCACGCCTTCGGTTGCGAAAGCTTTTCCAATGCTGCCATCTGCAAGAACAGCGAACTCGTCGACCCAATACTCGAGCCAATACTCAACCTTGCAATGGTTTTCCTTGACCTCATGCGGAGTACTTCTCAATGTGCCCCTGCTCCAAAGGCCCCATCACCCTTGAGGAAAGACGAGCATTCAAGGCATCCCCCGAGGGGTCACAGCAGCGTCTCTCCGAGAAACTGGGTTGGCATGGCCTGGCAAATGGCACCCGACATGCCCCGCGTCCATCCTTTCGCAAGGATGCAAAGGGGCGTCTGCTAGAGGAGCCCGTACGAGGAGGTTGATGCCGTCCCCTGGTGTGCCTGGCAGTCTTCCATTTCTCTCTAACCAGTCTTGCTAGCCAGATTCATCATAATCCCTCGACTGGAACCAGGTGCGGCGAGCAAGCAGATCAGCGACACCCGCATGCTCCAGCATTGCTTTTTTGGCCGAGCCGCCAACCCGACTTCAATGGCAGAGGCACTTTGCGGGCGGAATCAAACATCGACCGAATCTACATCGAAACCGGCTTCGCCAAAGTCCTTTCCTGCGACACAAAGATTGAAGCCGTGATGGAGATCCTGATGACACGCGAGATGGCCAATTCTCGGACGAAAGCCTTGGGATCGTCACTTGTCTCGTGGCCAAGTTACCAGGTTACCATATGGTAATCGTTTCATCGATGCATGGAAGGAGAGCTTACTCACGTACGTGACTGCCTGCTCCAGAGTGTACGTGCACTCTCTGACTGGCCTGCCCTTACGATAACGACGGTATCCTAAGGCTGGCCATCTGCGCCTTCCTTCTTTCCTCCCTCCCTCCGTGGTCTCCCACGACAGACGCAGGAAGGACCCACCAGACCCATGGACGTGCCTGTCGCCGTCACGACACAATCGACACGAAGGTGGCCGGGTGCAGGTCCGAGCTGTGCGTGCCGAGAGGGACCACGCGAAAAGAGCACCAAGCAGACAACACTTTAGAGGATGGCTGCGATAGATCAACATGCGCAGCCGTGGGACCTGTCACGCGTGGTACTTGGACTTGGACCAGCTGAGGGGTGTCTTCGTCCTTGCATGGGAGACGGAATGGCCCACGCAGCATCTTCAGACTTCACAGGCACGGTTTGGCACACAAGGGAGGCAAGCCTGAACGCAGGTTGCACAGCACGTATAGCCAGATCTCAGCACACGGCTCGATGCGAAGAAACCCCAACGAGGCAGGGCAACGTGCGGTCGAGTCGACGCGAAGAGTCTTCCGTGCTGGTTCAGCGATGTGTGGCTGGCTGGACTTTTCAACTCGATCGTGTGATTTGGGGTTGAAGTCCTCCGCCAGGGTATGCAGCCCCGGCATGTCGCTGCTGTTGCTGGTCGGGAGCTTTTGCGACCGTTTGTTGACATGCCGGGCTCGGGCAGTTCGACTCGTCGACGGAGGCCACAGCGCCCGGGACGCGTGAAAAGGGGTCTCGGATCATTTACTGACGACGAGGGATGAATCTTGAGGGGTGTTTTCGTGGAGAGCACTTGCGCGGGAGCCCGCCTTCTGCTTCTTCGAATCAATGAGTACTTCCCGGACTTGTCACGAGCACTGCGGACATGGAGCAGATCGACATGCCATGGCCACTTACTCAGACCAGCTCTGGGCTGCTGGGCATGACCAGAGCCAAGCTGCGACGACAGTCTGCCTGCGAGTATTCGATCGCCCCGATTCTGTCTCGAAAAAAGTTCAACAGCGTCAATGAGAATGATCAATGCTAATGGGACAATCCGGTCCTCTCTCTGCTTTTCTCTTTGGGATGGCAATCGACATGTGAGGTACGTGCTCTGTGCTTATCTTATCGCCTGCTTATCGCCGATCGATATCTGTGTCAGCTGGCAGCACTGTGACCGAAAAATCTGCCAGGTCCACGCAGGTTTGAGCCCACTCGAGAGGCTTGCACTTGTTGCCATGCGATGCACTTGTGCGACGAGACATTTTACAGACAATGGGGGCGTGGTGAGTGTTCTTTGTTGAGGTTGTCTGACAGACAAGCTGGAAGATTGGACTGGGCGCATGTCGTTTAGGAACGCAAGGAAAAAAGAAAACAAAAGAGACGAAAAATGGAAAACCCGACATGAAACTGCGTTCCCTACGCCTCATGTTCTGAACGATTGCCCGAGGCTTTCCCCCTCTGCAGCGCCTTGATCGTTCCCTCCAGGTCCGACACCATCCGGTCCATGGCCGGGAATCTCCACAGCACGGCGCGGCCCCAGTGCCATGTGACCCACTCCTTGCGGCCCGGAATCGAGAGTCTTGCCTCCAGCAAAGCCCGTTCCACCCCGGCTGCTACCATCGCCTCCTGCCACTGGACGATCCTCCCCATCAGCCTGGCAAACTCCGCATCCGTCTCGTTCCTCATGGCAGAGACCCGCGCCGCCACGATCGGGGGCACAGCAACCTTCCTCATCCCCGCTCTCGCCGTCGCACTCGAGCTTGAAGCCGACCGGAGGTCCTGTTGACGGAGGAGCTCCTCGAACGGGTCGACGATCCAGTCCTGCCGCGCCCCCATCTCGCGCAGTTGACCCTCCAGCCTGCCCGCTTCTTCCGCTGCTGGGGACAGCAGTCCGGTGCTGTCCGTTTCCCACCGCCGCAGAAGCTCCGCGACGCACGAAAACACGGCGCCCGTCGCGTGTCCATCCCCATTATCGTCATTGACGTCGTCATCGTCGATGTACTCCCGGTCGATTCCGTTCCAGCAGGAGAGCAGCCCCTCCATCCGCGAGCCGTTCATGGCGCCGGCCACGTTCCACGAAGACGCCTGGATCTTCAATGCGGCGTGAGTTCCGACGGCGTCATTCAGCACGACGTCGTACTCGTCGCACACAACCTTGATGCTGTGCGTGAGGATGTCGGCGTGACGGCACAGAGGCACAATGTTCCCCCCAAGATTGGAGAGCAGCGACTCGGCGGACTTGGCCAGCTCGACGAGAGACGACGCCGCATCGCCATACAGGAGTGCGACGCGCCCCAGCTCCGCCGAGAGGGGGATCTCCCTCCACCGCTGCTCCATCGACCGCAGCGCCGACCGGTCCAAGTATATGTGTGTCTCGACGGAGATCATGACGAGTATCCTGGCGGCGATGTAGAGACCCGCGCCGACGACTGCCCATATGCACAATGATCGGCACCATAATCGGAAGGGCGAGGAGGAGGAGGAGGTCGGAAAAGCGATTCGGTTGCACTCGAGCGTCAGCACGCGCGCGTCTTCCTCGTGCGGTCGCGGTTGCGGGCCCTCGAGAGACGTCTGGATGCCCTCGGAGGAGAAGTGCAGCTCGAGGGTGCCTATCGTGGGCACCCAGTCGCCGTGGAAGCAAAGGGTCAGGTCTTGGTCGTCGTGTCCTCGTCGTTCATGTCGTCGTCGCACTCGCCCTTTCCCTTCTTCTGCGTCTTGGTCTCGTGGCTCGGATGTCTCGTCCGCGCCCTTCTCGACGATGCGGGGCAATGAGATTGTGAAGCGGATGGCGTGGTGGTTGGGCAGGGATTCCTCACGCTCGCTTGAGGCCGAGGATGATGGTGATCTGGAACCTCTGCTGGGCACGGCGGGAGACAGCTCCTTGCGCCCACTCGAGGCCGACGGCGACCGGGATCTGGAGGCTTTTCCAGAGATGGTCGGCAGGGATTCCTCACGCCTGCTGGAGGCCGAGGACGACCGCGATCTAGAGCCATCGCCGGGCACAGCGCGCGGGGATCCCTCGCACCTGCTCAAGGCTGAAAACGACCGTGACCTGGAGCCCTCCCCGAACATGACGAGCGGGGTCTCCTCGCGCCCGCTCGCAGCCGAATATGACTGTGATCTGGAGCATCTGCCGGACATGGTGGGGTCTGTCGATGGGGTTGCGTCGTAACCTGTGATGATTGATCTGGACGGAAGCTCGAGGGATTCCAAACACACTGTAATCTGGCATGAATTGATGAGTAAATCTATGACAATTTACGTCCAATCCCCCCTCCCTTCTTCCCGGGCCAATTTGAGCAAACAAACAAAACTTGGACGAACAAACACAAACACGAACCCATGTCACACCAATCCTTCCGCATTCAGCAAATCCAAAAATAAAAACAAAGTCAAGTGTCCGTCCATGGAGTTCTCAGCAGAACCTGGTTCAGCCAGACTCCGGGTTCTGGGCCAGCCAAATCCCGCGCAGCTCGTGATCGATCTCGAGAGCGGCCAAGAGATGCTCGCGTTGAGCGGCCAGCAGCTCCTTGGTCCTCGGCTGCAGCTGCAGCTGCTGTTGTTGATGCTGCTGATGGTGCACTGGACGAGAGGAACCCTGGGGCTCCTGTTGCTGCTGTCGCCACTGCTGCTCGGTGTGCCGCATCGCCTTCTCCAACCTTTCGCGCTGTGCGGGCTCCATGGCCGACATGCGGGTGTCGGGATCAAAGTTGGTGAAGCCGGAGATGGCCAGCCGAGACGCGGCCTCGCTGCGGCCCGAGGGATAGGTGCCAGGACACGGTCCTCCGGCGGCGGTAGTGGCGGCCTTGGCTCTGGCGGCGGCCTTGTGCGCATGGTGGGCGGCCAGGATCATGTGTTCGGAGGCCGACGGGTTGTCCATTTCGCGTATCATTTGGACGACTCCGCTGTCCGGCTTCACCAAGGAAGGGTTCGTATTGGGAGCCATGGTGACGACGGTGATGGTGGTGGTGATGGTGGTGATGGTGAATCAACAAATGCGCAAGAACTCGACACAGCGAAGAACTGTCGATGCAGATCTCGCGTGGCCGCAGTATGAATGAGGGGTATATGCCCATTCTTATCGCCAACACTGAGCGACGAGGCAATGATGGAAGCAACGAGATGATGGTTGAAGATGATCCACCAACAGTGGCCGAGACATCCATGGCAAGGCGCAACCAGCCGTTGGCCGGCCCGCATTCACAGTGAGATGTGACGGCGTTCCTCTACTCGGACCTTCACTCCATCTTATTCCCTGTCCTTCTGCTGCATCATGGCTTGATTTGGTCTCCTGGCCTCAGAGTCAACCACCACTCCCAAACGGGTCCAGGACAGGGTCGCCCAAGACAGCCCATCCGGCTCGGGATGCGACCAGAGCCAAAGACGAATGGTCCGCAAACCGCGATATGACTGTAATGGTGGAGGAATATAAGACATCGCCGGGCGGCCCTCCGCCCGCCTCATCGTTGATGCCTTCAGCAGCTAGTCACTCATCCACCCGCCATCTCCTCACTCGCCGACTGCGCCCTTCTCATACCCATCACCACTCGCAGAGAATACAAGAAACGGAATAAATCAAACACGAAAACAATTGACGACACAATGAGAACATTCCTCATGCGGGCGTGCGCATGCGCCGTCGCAGCCGCCGTCTACTGGTACACCCAACTGCGCAGTCCACCCTTGCCGGTGCCCATCATCAGCACTCCCGATCACCAGAGTGAGTCCAAATCCCCTCCCACACAGCCGGAAACGCACAGACATGTTGCCGCGCAAGATCTGACAGTTTCTTTCGCCCCTGGTCTCGCAGACACCATCAAAAACATCTGCGACGTCTATTGGGACTACCTGTCCTACAGCACGGCAACGCAGGTCCCAACGCTCTACGAGGCCTTGGGCCTGGACGACGCTCGAAACCCAGGTGTTGCGGACGTCTGGTCGGCGCTGCAGGACCGGCTAGACGGGATTTACCATGCAAACGGCGCCCCCCTGGCTGATGACGGCCCCGCTGTCGGCTCGCTGCATGGAGCCGAGGGCAAGGAGTATTTTGGCAGCTTTGGCGACGGTGAGCCCTCTCTGGGACTGTCTCCGCCTCTGGCACCCCAGGCGAGCGAGGTTTGGACGCAAATTGGCAACGTTTTGATGGACAGCAAGCTGCGCTCCACATACGACCGGGCCTTCATGCCCGTGCTGACAGGACTGGGGGTGGATCGGAAGGCAGCTCTGAGCAACATATGTCTGTGGGATAGAGAGCAGTAGCAGATGCAGGCATATGGATTCTTTGTTCATGTTTCAATAGCCAAACTGCTGCTGTGACCTTTTCTTTGGGATGACGTGTTGGAAAGGGGACATGTGTTAGCACATAGACCACAAAGGAATGCTTTTCCAATATGTTGATGCTGTCATCCTTTGGCGATTAGGTGAAGCGCCTGCAGGGTAGATGGGCCATCAGCATCTCACATGACTTCATAGTCCGTGGCGGATGGCGTTGCCGGCCCTTCGAAGACCTTGCCCTCCCATACGCTTCACACTTGACAAACCCGATAGATAATCATGGCCAACCATGCTGTTGCCCATGGTGAGTTGACTGTAAAACGCGTCATCTTCCCAGAACGTGAGTACTTTTTCCCCCGCTCTCCCTATCATTCCCTCGCTTCATCCCCAGAGCTTGACCACTGACATGCTGCATCTGTTGTCAACCCAGCGAGCCAGGGCAATAAGATGAGCACCAAACCCACCGGCAACCGCCTCTGGGAGCTGCGTGCCCGCCAGTTCCAGAGACTCTACCACGCCGTACCGAAGCACAAGAACAGACACCTCATCACTGCTGAGCATCTCGCCCGTGCCAAACTGCTGCAGCCGGATTATGCGCTTCCAGCCGCTGTAGAAGGCGACGACAACGACGAGGAGGACGACAACGATGATGAGACGACCCAAGAGGAAGCATGGCCCGAGGCTTGGGACAACATCAAGTCTCTCACGGGTGTGTTGAGCCATCGCACATGGAAGAGTTATCCCATCCGCAAAGAGACGGTTTGTTTGCTCCCTCTTCATTCATCTGACGTTGACTGACCCGAGCAGGAGGATCCCAAGATCGGAAGCAAAAAAGTCCAAAAACCTGCCCCGAAGCCAGCCCAGAATCCACCCTCGGGATCCACATCCGCACAGCCTGCATCGCCCGAGCCGGAGCCCGAGCCCGAGAACAGCTTCGAGGCCCCTCTTGATGATTCTCCCGAGCCAGATACCAGCTCGGTGGCCCTTCTTGACGATCCTCCCGAGCCCGAGATCAATTCAGAGGTTCCTCTGAATGCCTCTACCGAGCCCGACAGACGTCCTCCACCAACACAAGCGACCGTTCTGCTCGACAACCACCATGTTTCCAATCGTCCACAGCAGCCTGATGCCCAGGCTAACCCGAACGGCTTGCTCTCGCGGGACCCACCGTACCCCTCTCTGCGAGTCGATCCTCGGCCGGTCAGCCCTCGGCCTGAGCTACAGAGACGTTTTCAGGAAGTCAGGAGAGGCCTTGAGAGGCTTATCGTGAACGCTCAGGGGCCCCGCAATGATGCGGAACTCATCGGCCACGAGGGTTCCTTTGGGTCGAGAGCCTTCTCGCAGAACGCCCAGAGTTGCCACAGTCCTGCGGAGCCCATTGGCAACCGGGGGTCCTCTAGGTGGAATACCTTCTCACAGGACGCGTCCTATGATGATGCGGCGCCCATTGTCAACGAGGGTCCCTTTGGGTCAGGGGCCTTCTTGCCAGACGCCCAGCATTCCCGCAATGCTGCAAACTCCATTCGCAACGAGAGCTCTTCTGGATCGCAGGGCCTCTCGCAGGTTCCCAAGAGGTCTCACCATGATGCGGATCCCGCCGGCAACGAGGGTTCTTCTGGGTCAAGAGCCTTCTCGCAGGACGACTTCAGGATGTTCTTGGCTTGGCGCAAGGAGAGACGGAGGCCCGGGGCCGGCGGCAACTCGTAGCCGTGAGAACTTCTGCCTTTTTCTCTGTGGCTTTGTACTGGGTAGTAACATGGTTGAGTTGGAAAGGATGGAGGACCTACATGTAGTATCAGTTGTAGAATGGAAAGCTTTTTGATGGGATGATAGAAAGCACACTCGTGGAGTAACACCATGAGGGAAGTTGATTCAATCATGGCCGAGTCTTGGTTTTCGCCAGCGCTGCATACCAATCAATCAAATCAAACTGATGGGGTCAAACTCAGCTGATTGAATCACTCTTCACGATAATCTTGAATGTTTTGACTGTGTTGAATGATTTCTATTGATGTATGTGTACGATGTCCTCGGTGGTGAAGGGTTAGTGGTTGCTGGACCCCTTTATGAGGTCCCGAAGTTCGAATACGGGTCGTGCCCGGGTTTTTTGGCCCCGACTCCTACGGCCCCACTCAGTCCGCTGCCGAAAGCACGGCCCCGCAAAAGGCCGAAAGACTACCCGAAGGCCCCGGAATCCCCCTGAAGGCCCCTAAATAGCCTGGGCAGCGGAGTGAGCGTGGTTCTGGGAGCCCTGGTCTTGAGAAAAACAGCCAGAAAGAGGGTGTCATCGTTTTAGCTGATGGAATCTCTGAATTTCCTCTTTTAATTGTCTGATTGTTGGAATTGATTGATCTGTCTTGGTGGGGTGCAGCGCTGGGTGTTTCCAACGCATTTTCTATCCATTACCGATCCGCATCATACATCGTCATTCGTGATTCCTCGTCCATCATTGAGAATAAACATCGTGAGCCCAACTCCTACCATTCCTCCCGTGTCCACAGGCATCAAAGATAGGGTCTCTGTGCCTCCAAAACCCTCGCCTCTATCGCGGGAGACGGACCATCACCGCCGAGAAAATACTTGTACACGAGCCCCTGGCCGGGGTACCTCCGGGGCCTGGCGCCGAATGGCCGCCGACGGTCGTCGATGACGTCTTCGAGGAAGAAGATCTCCTCCAGAAGCTTCTCGCGAGCCTCTCTGATGGCGGTGATACGATCGTTGTCGTGCTCTCTGCCGCGCCCTCTGCCAACCGCCAGCGGGAAGAGCGCGTCGAACATGTGGGCTCGAAAATCGAACAGCTGAGCCCATCCCCGGCGAAGCCAATCCTCAAGCTCGGCGAGAGACATGTCATCAAAGACCCGAGCGACGTCAGAGGCAATAGGGGCAAGATCAGCGGGGAGGGCGTTACTGCTGACTGCCACTCTCGAAATCGAATCGCCGGGCGCGACCTCGTCTTCATCGTTCTCGTTCTGGCCACGCCGAGCGGGCTCTCTGGCGGGGGCGGGTCGCTGCCGGTCCTTGGATCCATCATCGCTGTCCTCATCCCGGGGCGGCGGGACGACGGGAACGTGGCCCAACCCTACCAACTGGGCACGTAGCGCCTCCATCTCATCCTGGGTCCGGCGATCCTTTCTACGCTCGGCGTCTTCGGCGTCCGACACCTTCTGCAGCAACCGGCGGGCGTAGTCTTCATCGAAAGTGCTGCCGTCCCACTCATCGGACAAGAAACCTTTGGCCCAGTTCTCCCAGACCCGCTCACCATCCTCCTCGCGTACGAGTCCCAGTTTGACAGCTTCCGAGGCACAGCGATTCATGGCGGTCTGGATCTTGGGGCGGATAACGAGGTCCCAGGTTTCGGTCCAGGACGAGCCATCCGGGCGGACGGCGTACAGCTTGAGGGCGATGTCGCCCCACCGCTTGAAGATGGTGTGTTTGGGGCAGAGCTGAAAGCGGATGACGTGCTGCCACATGAAGCGCTTACAGCCGGGGCCGAAGACGATTTTGGTGCCGGGGATGCAGAGGTGTTCCACGCTGGACTTGCATACTCTCTGTTGCGATGTCAGTATTCTGGCGACGGGACGGGTTGATGAGCATTTGAATCCAACCTTCTCGTTATTGGTTGGGCACATGGATGATGACCGGCGGCGGGGACGAGCGGTGGAATGGGAAGAAGACGTTGACACAGGGCGTTTTCGGGGGAGATGAGATTCCGGAGCGAGACTTTCAGCACTGCAACCAAAGTAGTGGGATGAGTTGAAGGGCCGCGATTTGATTTGACGATGAAGGTGGTTCCGGTGGAATGGATTGGATCGTATTGCAGTTTGTGGGGGCGGCCGTTTGCTTCGGATCTTGTTCCGCCGGCAGAGGCGGAGAAAGGGATTCTCCCGTCCTCCGAGAGATCTTTCTTCTAGTTGCAGAGTGATCACGAATTTATGCTGGAGGGAGCATGCCGGTTGGCAACTGAAGATTGATTAGGTAGTTGAGTCGTTGCGTGAGGTGCTCACTGACCGGGATCTCACCAGGATCTCACCCAGGCTAAGATCTCACCAAGTTCTGACTAGGGTCTCACACCTCACAATTATAATCACAGTAGCTATATTCACAAATACTCTAACACTTGGGATAATGTTGCTGGAAACTCTGCAAGTAGGCGATGCAGAGGTCTCTCGCCGTCTTACTCAAGTGCTGCAACGCATTGTTGCTTGCATTGACCCCCTGGCTCAAGACTTCGGCCAGCAGATCCTTTGCCCCCTGTGCCATCTCAGCGAGATGTGTCTCCTCATTCTGGATGGCTTTGAGAAGTATGGCCGTCTTGCCCGCTCCCACGGTCAGCGTCTTGCACAACACGCTGGCCTTGGACTTGCGCCGCCTCCATTTGGTGATCTCGTTGCGGATGACGTTAGCCTGGTCCTCCCACTTCAACACCTCGCCGGTGGTACCTTTTGTCGCCCGGCGGGGCCAATAGTCGACGAAGAAGAAGTAGATTCGTAGCAGCAAATATTTGGGACTCATGCTGTTGCTGTGACGGGCCTCTCCCTCTACGAGTCTCTGGGTCTTGTCCGAGATACGCTCCTCGAGGACCGTGTTCCAGCCGCAGACGCTGGATGCCACTTCCGCCATCTCCTGGCTCAGAGCCGCTACGTCTTTGACGAACTGCGTTCGGCTCGTCACCTCCCCCTGCAGGACGCGAAGAATCTCGCGGACAAGTCCCTGTAGAATCACGGACGGCGGGGGCGGAGGGGGCTGCATCCTAGCGAACGGACTCCAAACCCACGAGAGCGGTTGCGGAGGGGGCGGAGGGGGCGGTGGAGGGTCATGTTTGGACCATAGGGCAGCCGGGTCGTGGACCAGACGCAGCGTCTTCTCCTGCGCGCGCTCCACGGTGCGCGCCTGTTTACGTCCAATGTCCTGCAGCTGCTCCACAACGGCACCGGCCCTGCGCATGGGGGCAAACGACTCCCGTTGCTTATCCGTCATGTACTTCTGCTGCTCATCGGCCATGGCCCCAAGCATGTCGCCAAAGGCAAAGACACAGAAATGGCGGTCAGGCTTCTGGAGGGAGAACGATTCGGTGAGTGTTAAGGGATTCCCGGCGGAGGAGGACGGAAGCGGTTTTGAAGACGCTATGAGGGGATGAGAGGCTTTGTTGATGCCATCGCACCAGTCGGCGAAGAAGAATCTACGGGGTAAGATGTCGTTGCAGGCCCGGACTTGGACAGTGTGGAGGCCGCCGAAGAAGCCTTCGATGGCCCACCCAGCGAGAAAGGCCAAGACGAAGAAGCTGATGAAGGTGGGAAGTATGATTGTGGCAAGCCACCATAGCACGGGCTTTGCGATGGTCCAGATGATGGCAAGGATCGCTCCGACAAATCTAAAGCCCCAACGCCAGAAACCCGCCTCCTCTATTGTCGGAACCGCACGCATGATGGCCGACACCTCTCGGACGAACCAAGAATCCGGCTCCTCTGTTGTCGGAACCTCAAGCTTCTGGCTTTGGTTGTGGTAGTGGCTGGGGACCTGGTCTCCACTCGGGCGCGGGACGGTGTCCTGCCCACCTCGTGTGCGGTGGTTCCCATCGGGAGGCGTTTGTCTAGTGGCAGGCGGCTGAGCTGGTCGATTTTGGGCTGATCGGTGATGGGCTAGTTGATGATAGACAGGCTGGTATTGGACAAGTTGGTGTTGAGCAGGGAGGTGCTGGGCAGGTTGACGGTTGACTGGTTGGTGCTGGGGTGGTTGATGATCGGCTGGGACGTGCCGGGATGGTTGCTGGGCGGGTTTGTTGTTGGCTGCAGCTTTCTTGGCTTCGAGCTGAGCGAGGAGTCGCTGGTGAGCGTCATTGACGCGCTTGTTGTCGACGGGTGGCTGCATGGCGTAACGGGAACTTGAACTTTTCAGGCGTGTGTGTGTGGGGTCTCAGTTGGAGCAACGGCTGTGTCTGGAAATGAAGTTTCTCTGGATGGAGCGTTATCTTTGAATCCTGCGTGGCATACCGTCTCTTCAAATGGCTTGTATTTATGCCCTTTGGCTACCGCCCGAAGCCCTCATGATGAGCCACCGTACCTCGTGTATTACAAAGAAGCGAGGTGCTTCTACTGCTTTTCCCTATCGTGAAACCTTCAGGGTGGGATTGAAACTTCCTCTACATTGGGTACAAAGAGAGACGTTCTCAATATGCAGGTACCCGTCCGGCCCAGATTTGAGCCTCTCAGATCTAGTTACACGAATGCGAGAGGAAACGTGCCACTCCGGGATGTCGAGAACACACTTGCCAGGACCAGAGGTCACCGGTCACACGCGGAGAATGTTCTCTTCTTGAGAGCCGTTCCTCATGGGCCCACGGAGTCGTCCAATAATGGACAACACCAGGTGACTCTGGGGCAGAAGTGCCCGAGGCCCAGGGAGGCATAGGCATCCCATGGCAGCAGTCCAGACGCGAGCCGGACCACCCGAAGACCAGGCCGTTCTGATAACAGGGTGCCGTGGTCTTGGGATGTGACAACTGACCCAATAATGGGAGCTGTCCGACGCCACCTTTCGAACGAATCGCTGGTAACAGCGGCACGGATCGGAAGATGGGCCGAAACGTGGTTCCCAATAATGGAATCCACGGGTGATGATCCTCCAATATTGGGGATCCCTCCAATAATGGAGCTGAGGCGCACACTCTGATAACAGAGCGGGCCGGCCGCGAGGTCCAAGCCGGGACGGTTAGAAATGGCCGCCCAGAAATGGGAGTTCTCAAGCGGCTGATGGCGATCATCGTCCAATAATGGAGATGAGGCGGCACGCTCTGATACCAGAGAGAGCCGGCCGCAAGTTTCAAACCAGGACATTGGGAAATGACCAGCCAAAAATGGGAGGTCTCAAGCAGCCACAGACGGTGATGTTGATGAGAGAACTGAGTTCTCGATCGTCAAATCCGGAATACGACGGACAGGGTCAGAGGTTTTAATCAATCTCAACCTCCTGGCCGATTCTTTGTCTGGTGGTCTGGCCGCTTGGGCGTCACTGAATTGAGGGGATAGAGACTGGTTCGACCGGTCGGCCGTCGCAGCACCGCCATTGGGGATATGGCTGTCTTTGCTATGAGAGACATCTTCACCGCTTGTGCGGTTCATGAAGAAGTGTCTTGGAACACTGGAGATGGCGAATTATGTAGGGTGTCTGCCATGAGACTTGCAGCTTGGTCATGTTGGTAAGATTCAAGACCAAGATGCGGTGGAAGCCAGCTACCATGAGAGCTGAGACCCAGTGGAGTCGCATCTTCAAGCCTTGGCGTTGGTGGTCTCAGTCTGGTCGTTGAATAAGTGGAGGGCAGATGGAGATGTTCGTCATGGAAGCTTCCGCCATGTGGTGGAGGCTCCAAGATGCCGGCACCAAACGAACTCACCAGTTCGCAGCCCCATATGCAGGACCGTGAGACACCCACCCACTCACCTGGGATCGTCATGGCGGCAGCTTGATCTCTTGGGTGAACTGCATGCTGGGCGAACATCCTGCCAGGAGCAGGTTCGTGGCATGGACTGTCGCCGTCCGCCCACGCTTCGCGTTCATAGCTCAATCATCTCGGCCCTGGGATTGGGCTGGTTTGGTGTGCATCCAGCTGCTTGTGTGGATACTGCAGACTCCCGAAATCGAGAGGAGGTCAAAGCCCAGCGGTGAACATGTTCGCAAGATGCGGCTGTTGCCCGGGGGCATAATCTCCGGGCGTTTGTCCGTTCTCCCCTGCATCCGGCTTGCTCCCTTCTCTCCACAGATTCATGGCCTTGGGAGAGAGGATATCTAACACTTGTCCTCGCCAGTTGTCCCTAACTGATCCCCCGTGCATGCAGAATTGCTTTCGTTTCTTCTCGCTTTGGTGCCAAAGTGAGGGCATTCCGAATCTCTGCTTCAGTCCACATCCGAGGCGCAGCAACAATGTGCCTTGGCAACTCGGACCAGGTTGCCCACTCCCCACCCCCAAACTGTGAATACCCTCGCTAATACTCAAGTCCGGCAGTTCGTATGCGGCGTCAAGGTCGAGTGGTACCGAGACCAGGGCCGGAGCCGCGGCGTGTCCTGGTGCGTCCGCTCCCGCGCCCACATCCTCCGTGCCATCGTGGCAGCCCAATGCCTCCCGCACCACGTCGACCACCCCGACTTCGAAGGGCGCTTCCTGCCCGACGTGCGCATCGCCTGCAACATGGCCCACGGCGGCGACTTCGCCAGGCTCATCAGACCGCAATTTGATCGCCTGGTGAGGCACTACGCCAAGAAATGGGTCACCGCGAATGGCCCTGTCGTGCTCAAGGATACAGTCACCATCAACGCAATCGTCACGGAGGAGTACCGGTTCAACCAGGGGCTGGTCGACAGATGCTTCAACGACGTCGACGCCATCGAGCGCTGGCTGCGGGTTGACTTGGGAAAACAGGACTGGTGGGACAAGGGTGAGTTCATGGCCGTTTGAAGCTTGTTTGCTTCACCATCCGAGCCGTTGCTAATACTGAGTCTTTTGTCTTCAGACCCCGGTGCCACTTCACACCCATCCACGCCGGTGGCAACTCCGAACCATCGCACGCCAGCGACGCCAACAACACCTGCGACGCCGACAAATCCAGTCTCGCAGAGCCGGCGCCGTTCGGGCACCGCCTCGTCCACGTCCACGGGCCGATCGAGAAGGCCGCCGCAAACGCCAACGCACCCCAAGAGAGGTCCGATTGCGGCAGACATGGATCGGCTGGCATCCAGCGTCGAAGCCCTCAGCTTCCCGTCTGACGTGGGTGCAAGCCAAACCCCCTCAACTCCGACACGGTATGTGAACTCCCAAGGTCCAAAGTTCAAGACGGTGCACCAACGTTGATCTGTTTTTCTTGCACCCGCGTAGCTCACGTTCATCCCAGAAGCCCCCCCGAACCGCCGCTCTCAGGCCTGTTCAGCGCCCCCGCAAGCGGCTTGGCCGGGGAGAGGCGGGGCCCGATGCCGGCCGCGGCCTCGCCCGTCCCGGCGAAAGACGGCACTCCCGGTCTGGGTCCGGCGCTGTGGGGACCCACACCGACGGCCGGGGTCCCGAACCTCGAGCCGTCGCCGGTCATGTTCCCTCCCACTCCCGCGCGTAGCCTCGCTTCGGCCAGGGCCCCTTCGACCGCCCCGCCGTCCTCTGAGGGATGGGCCTTTCCATCGTCGTCGTTATCGTCGTCTCCAGCACCGCGTGGTCCTCAAGCGCCGTCCACCATTGCTACCAGCCGATGCCGCAGCGCTGCTCCGTCCACATTCGTCTCTTCGGTAACCCCACCGTCATTCGTCCCGTCATCGTTCTCGCCGTCTCCGGCACAGCGCCATTCTCCGCCACCGACTACAATCCTCACAGATGGAACCCGCAGCGTCACGGGCGCTGATCCGTCCACGTTGGTGTCGTCAATCGCCCCGCTGCCATCTATCCACTCATCGCTGCCGAGGCGGTTCCGGGAGAGTGTCAGACCGCCGCCACCACCAACCACAATTCTCACAGACGGAGCGACAGATGCGCCTTCGGTGTTTGAGGCGCCGGCTGAGGAGCACGCTCACTACGGCGATGGCCACGGTGATGGTGGTAGTGGCGGTCATGGTGGGTATGGCATGGGCGTCGACAACGATGCCCAGAATTGGGAGCATCGCATCAGGGAGTCGTTTGAAGCGACGCATCTCGCGTGGCGCTATGTGGTCGAGGTCGAGACTGCGGCAAAGGCTCTCATGTTTGGCATTGACGGAACGGTCTGAGATGCGCTGTTTGTGATGTAGTTTCAATTGAACCCTGCTGTTGCTTCCACTGTGCTGCCGGCTGCGATGTTGATCATTTGTGTGTCTGATGCTTGTGTCGTACAGGTAGCGTCCGAAATCGCCACCCGGATGTGGATGCGGTGGGCCTTTGCATCACATTTCGATGTCGTAGCATCCTGAGAACGATGAAGCTCAGTGGAAGATGCCGCGATGTCAAGCCGGAAAAGGAGTCGGGATGAGCAAGATTCGTGGTGGTGTCTTTTCCCCCGCATCGGTCGGGAAAACCGCACCTACCCAGCTTTAATCACGGATATCTCGCGAAGTACTGCCTGCATCTAGACACAAAAAATATCGCCGAGATCAGCAAAGTCAGGGGAATTGATTTGTAGTTTTTTTTTATTCGGATGCACTACTACAATCATTTCCTGCATTTGTGCTGAGTGTTGCTGTCCGGGCTACCCAACTTCTCCACAATCTCAGCGACCTGATTGGCCGAATCCAAGTTCGCGCATCATCAACAACTTTACGCGCAATTGACGGTTTCGCAATGATTGTGAGGGCTGAATATCGCCGCACACTTATCCGGACCTCCAAGATGTTGCTAATTATATATCGTGGAGGTCCCAATGGGAGGGGAAATCGGCCAGCCCCGGCAATTAAAGGGGCAGATTATTGAGTTGAATTTTGTGAAAATGAAATCGGACGATTCTCGCACGGACCATTGACGTTTAGCTGAGCAGCAACACCAAAAATCAAAAGTCGATGCACACGAACAAAAAAAGGTGTCAATTGATAGCCCTGTTCTCACTGACATCAGCAGTATCTTTCTATTCGGGTGCATGCAATATGCGAAGGGATGTTTGCTGGCAGAAAGAACGACCAGGTGGTGAGTTGACGGGCGAGCAAACCTGAAAATGGCGAGTTTTTGCAGGGGTTTCGGCAAGGTCTCATGGAATCTATCCATATATGGTGAACCCATGATTCTCCCCTTCATCTTCCTTGTAAACGTCAAAAATTGTTCCCAGTATCTACCTCATCTCTTTCCTCTAGGTAGAGGCGGCATGGGAAACACCGGGTGAATTTGGCGGACATGGACATGCGCAGACATTGACGGACTCGCACGGCAAAGACTGGCCACCCGGGCGTTGCATGGTGGAATGACCTCCTTACCGTCTCGATAGGTTTACTGCCCTTGCCGATGGACCCAGGCCTGTATCTCGAAGGTGTTGTTAAGTCTCGGCTACGAATACGGCCACTGTGAATTACACTCACTCCAGGAAGACGTGGTGCAAGCCGGATTCTGGGGTTGCGCGATGTTGCTCCTCTGAGGTTGCCGTCGCCGGTCGGTGCTGGACTTGAGAGGGCAGGTAGGCAGATGGCAAGTGCGGCTAGCAGGCGGCTGCCTCGCCACACGCAAGCCTCACGCAAGCCTCACGCAAGCCTCACGCAAGCCACACGAGGGTGTCGAGAAGGGGCGTGATATAAGAGCCGCCTTTTCTGTATGTTTCTGTATACCGCGACAGATCGGTCTGGTACCCAGTCGTGGTGAACATGGACGCCTCGCGAGATGCACCTCTTCCCGTGGGTCACGCGGAAAGCCGTAGCCTGATTCGTTTAGATAATTTGGGAATCCCACGCTGGACCGCCGTTTTCAAATTATCCGCTACCGAATCATCAGAGAAGACGACGGACGAAAACGACGGACGGCCATTGAGCTTTTGCCCCCCTTCAAGCCGAACAGAGGACGAGGTCATTGTGAATCAGCAGGAAGGGAGGCCACAACGATAGACGGTGGGAGTTGAATGCGGGGTGTCTGAGGAAGACAGCCAGAAGCGCATAAACATCATTAAGGGACTTGTCATGTGCAAGGCAAAGCATGCGCGAAAGCAGAGCACGTGCGAAGGGAGCAGCACTGTAGCCTGATGCGATTTCCAGGCGGGACAAGCACTTGCAACAACAACCTTTTGGCGAGCAGCCAGCAGCTCAGTGTCTAAGCGTATTTCTTGTAGAGGCGAATGCGGAGCAGTATGGCACTGAGTTCACGATGTTGACTGATGCTCCAGCGGGGTTCGACATAGATGGGTACATGCATGGGAGAAGATGATGCCAATTTCGGGGCCCAGCGACTGCATCAGTGGAGAGCCGGTGTGTGGAATGAAGTCTCCAGGCCCAACAGACGGCTGGCTGTGCCGGGTGGAATGGGACAGAGCCCAAGGGGCCTTGTTCGTGTTGTCGGCACGGGGCGGGCAAGATGCTTGCTTGGCCTCGGATTCGCGTGCTCGTCCAGTGTGATGGAGGCGGGCTGGGCTGGCTGGCTAAGCTCGCTGCAATTCTTTGGTTGGCAATTGCTGGGGGAAGTATTTCGTGGTGGGGAGAGCGGCCGATGAAGACCCACTGGCAATGGTCGTCGCTGTCGTGGCGGGGATTTATCGGGATTGATGATTGATGTTGGCCGAGACGGCAATTGGGAGTTGGGTCACCGCGGTCGTGGGAGGGGAGCAAGACGTGTCAGGATTGATGCGCCGCAGGCTGGAGATGGTTCTCGAGCTCGGGTTGGTGATGGATGACGGCAGAAACGTCAAATGAGGGAGTCGGATTGGAGGCGTCTTCGACAGTCGATGGCTGACTGGACAGCTCGAATGATGTGACCACGGACATTGACGGTGCCGCGTGCAGCACGTCCTCGACTTGCAGACTTTTGTTGCTTGATGCCGAAGTCGTTGCACCTTCCGTGGGGCGTGGAAAGGTGGCGAGGAATTGGTCGGGCAGTCGAAAGCTGGAGTTGCGCAGGAACGGACTGCGCCGGTGACGATGCCAGGGAGGAAGAGATGGGCGTCAAAGGCGTCGAGAGCGTTGAGGACGGCGTGGCCATTGGCACTGTTGTTGACATCGCTGGCTGTCGTTGCTGCTTGCTCTTGTTCCTGCCCCTAATGGCCTCGGCCGTATTTGTGTTTCCTGCTGCCTCCACTGGCCTCCGACCGGGTGTGTGACTTCTGGAGTCGTCTCGGGTCGCTCAACTTGTCGCTTGCATCGGATCGCTTGACTTGTTTCTCGTCTCCAATCGCTCAACTCGTCGCTCGAGGATGGAGGATCTGGCAGCAGACCGGTCGGGAGACAGGGTCGGGTTTGGAGTTGACATCGAGAGGGGGCGCCGGCGGTGCAGTCCCGAGAATGCTGGCCTTCTGGGCGAACACCTCATAGCGACGTTGAAATACGGTCTCAACTTGTCGACATTCGCGAGCGGCACCGCAGATGGCCGGCAGGAAGGGCTCTGGGCGTAGGGTGGTTGCGAGCGAATTGGAGCATGTCGGTTCGCGACGCCGGGGCTTTGTTCGTGGGACGAGTCGGCCACAGATGAAGGTCGCCCATACCGCTCATCTTGGTCATTCCGGATGACCGCAGGGAATGGGTCGCATGCTGGGTACGCGTGACAGCGCGGAAGTGCAGGATGGTGGGATGGTAATTGAAGGAGGAAGATGGTTTGGATGCGGTCCACGAGAGTTGGGAACTCGAATCGGGGCACCTGGCAGACCCCGCAACGACGACCATGTCACTGTAGCTACAGGGGCGGCCTGCTGCCGATTTGCGGCGGGACCCCTCAATCGCAGTATCAGTTTTGCTGCATATTAATGCATTTGTCAAAGGTCTGCTCGGACGATACCTCAGTACAAGCATAATGGGCAGCAAAGCCCCACGGTGCGGGCCTTACTGAAGCTCCAGTCCGGGGACAATTTCCCGAGTCCCGAGTCTCAGACCTAACCTGATCGGGAATGACCCCACCCAACCCAAAGATCTGGCCAATGGGAGAGGTTGTCTGACAGACAACCTCGAAGATAGTGGCTGGTGACCCCGCCACATGTGGCTGGAATACCCCGCGATGCGTGGCGATTGACCCAGCAGACTTCATTCGACAGGGCAGGCCGCACGTCCATCCACATCTGGTGGTTTCATTACTTAGCGAGAATGATTCTTCCCTTTGGCGGGGCGCGCAAGTGCGACGAGGGGAGAAATTGTATCTGGTGCCTTCGCCGATAAGCATGCGTCGGGCTTGTGGAACGTGACGGGGCTGGCCCAGGTGAACAAACCGAGTTACCCCTTAGAGTCTGGTAGTGCCTCACTCTGATTGAAGTTGGGGACACCGATGGAATCAATCCGGTCAAATTGAGCTGCTGGTCTTCATACTTTACTTATGCTTCCTGGCAGAGGTGCTGTTATGGCCTTTTCCCCTGCTGTGAACACCCCTACTGGGTGAGCTCGAAACTTTCTCGATGGTACAATGTCTGGTTGCCAGTTCCCCCTTTCATCCTGCTCCAACGCAATCCAAGGTGAATTGCTCTTCGTTTCCTTCTCCAAATCAATGGCCTGCCGAGCAACCTCAAGCAGCTCCAACAGTTTCGCGTCCACGAGATCGTCAGAATCGTCAGCGATGGCCGAAGGCATTCCCCGTCTGACGCACGTCTCGGCGGACACAAGCGTCTCGCAGTACGCCAGGAGCAGTCTCCGTCGTGCGGTGTAGTTCTTGGTCTTGGGCTTCGTGCCTGCTTCGGGTGGCGGCGTATTGGTTCGGGGAAACGCGGGCTTCACGTCTTATTTGTCGGCAGCATGTTCGGAGCGATCAAAACCGCGCGCAGGTCCTAGGCAGTGGTCAGGGTCTGGTCTGGCGGTCGCTTTGTCGGAGGGGGTCATGCCTGCGACTGGCGCGGACGAACGTTTCGACCGTCCTTTGTCCATGCTGAACTCTTCGTAGAAGGAGTCCCTCGCTTGACGGGATGTTTGCGTGATGGCTTCGGGGTTGCGGCCGTCGTCGAGCGATGACTGCCTGCTCGATGATACCGCCGCAGTGTCTGAAAAGATGATGCCTAATTTTCGTAGCTGTCGCGCCTGGACAAGAGAGTGGAAGTTGTCGTAAGGCTGAATGGGGGTCGAACTTGGAAGAAGATGGAGGTTGGGAAGGAGAAGAAGAGATTGAGGTGAGGAAGGAAAGACGAAGGAAGGTCACG